AGACATGGGCGTGAGACTTACCACCGGCGCGACGAACCGAGCATGGTCGGGATTCCCAGGCTCATCCGGGAAATCTCACACCTTTCTCTTTGCGTCCACGGTGGCGCCCAGCGAAGCCCTCCGCGATGAGGCTCTAAGTTTGGCGGTCGGTGGGGGTGTAAGTGCCGGCGCCTCTCCGCGAACGGTCCAGAATGCCACGCACAAGCCCGCATGGCTCTTCTGGGGGAAGGGTAAGTTGCGCTTCAGGAAACGTGACGTCCACACAGCTTGCCTTTTTTGGCGAGAAGGGACGTCATATTCGAACGTGGTCGAGGGCGTGGTGCGTGAGCAGACGTTCGTTTGCGGCTTCATGGCGATGCCTTCCCCTTTTCTGTGCTTCTCCCATCGGATCCCAGTCCCTTCTGCCCTCATATTGCGCCTCAGGCTCCTCTCTTACCCCCCTAGATCGACATTCGGCCGTAGATGGCCGGCTCCTTGGCAGATCCTTGCCTTACTCCAGCCAAAACGTCCTCGATCGAGAGGGCCGAAAACAGCTGTCGTGGGAGTATGGCTCGCCCACCGTCGAAGTCATTGCATCATGAAAAAGATCGCGATCAGAGCGCGTAGCTGTCGTCGCCAAGGATCATTGCCTGTACGAGGTCTCTCATAAGAGAGGGTTCGCTGTCCGGTAGACGATCAACAGCTTAAGTCTGCGAGGTTCTACCAGTTGTGCTAGACTAACACTATCCTACCTACCTCACTTAGCGATACTTTGCAATTATTGACCTTAATGACAATCTAATGCTACGAAACAAGGCGTCAAGATGAGAGGCCCACCATCTTGGCCCGCCGGGCTGGCGGCGATGTCCTCGCTCGCCAGCTTCTGCGTATCGACAGCCAACGGCTTCTCGACCTCCTCCAAGCTCTGGGACAGGATCCAGAAATCCAACATCTTCACGGCGGAGCACGAGCTCGGCAGCCGATCTCTCGACATCGGCATCAGCAGCGGCTGCCCGACCGCCCTCGACCTGTGCGTCGATGGCGCCTGCACCAACGTCACCATCGGCATCAATCCGCTTCACCTGCGGCGCCTCACGAACCGCTGCAAGGCAGGCGAGATCTGCGTCGTCGGGTGCTGCGGGCCCCTGAGCTTCCACGAGCCCGCGGGGTGTGGCAGTGACGACGAGCCGTGCAAGGCAGGTCGCTGGTGCCACCGCGGGTCGTCGCTGCCCATCGAGGTCAGCACGAGCTCGCGCGCCTGCGGCTCCCACAAGAGGAGGTGCGACCCGGGCACGCTCTGTGTCAGCGGCTTCTGCGAAAAGATCGACCTCGGAAGCGACCCCCTGAACTGCGGCGGCAGTGGCGTCGTCTGCGAGGCAGGGCACTTACTGCCTCGACGGCGCCTGCGGTGCCCATGTCGTTGGCGCCCCTCCCCTCACGTGCGATGCTGACGACCAGTGTGCCCTCGGCCTCACGTGTCGACAGGGCGTCTGCGAGGAGATCAGCATCGCGCTCGATCCCTACAGGTGCGGCGCCAACAGCACCACCCAGTGCCTTGCTGGCGAGACTTGCCACGGCGGGCGCTGCGAGCGCATCGCCCTCGGCTGCGAGGCTGTCGACGGCGACAATGGCAACGACGATGTCGAGGCCTGCGAGAAGACGTGCGAGCTCGGAAGCGTGTGCTACAACAACGAGTGCATCCCGCTGCATGTCGACCTCGACGTCGCGGACTGCCATGGCAAGGCGTGCGCCGCGGGTGATGTCTGCCTCTCGGGCATCTGTACGTCTCATCTCGCGAGGAAACGCCACCGGTCCGATCGTGGGGGTGTGCTGGTGCCCCTCCTGGATCTGGCTCTCCTGGCGGTCAGCCTACGGGACAACCTGGTGCGTCTGCTGGCGCATCTGGTCTGCCTGGTGGTCAGCAGCCTACTGACGTGCCTGTCGTCCCGGGGCCTGTCGGACAGCCGAGCGCTCAACAGCCTGGTCAACCCGGTGCCGGACAGCCTGGCTCGGATCAGCCCGGCCAGTCCGGTGGCTCCGGTCTTGTTGGCGGCCCCGGTGGCCAGCCAGGCCAACCTGGAGTGACGCCTGGAGAGCCCGGCGGCTCAGGAATCGGCGGCGGCTCGAGTGATGGTCAGACGGGTGTAGGCGGCGGTCAACCCGCTGGCCAGCTTCCGCCTGGTCAGCTTCCTCCTGGCCAACTCCCCCCGGATCAGCCAGCTCCTGGTCAGCTGCCTCCAGATCAACTGCCGCCCGGTCAGCTCCCACCAGACCAGCCAGCCCCTGGTCAGCCAACACCTGGAGAGCCCGTGCCCGGCCAAAACCCCTCGGACCCGGGTCAACCTGGACAGGCTCCTCCGATCCAGCCTGGCACCGGCCCAGAGTCCCCTGGACAAGGCCCTACTGATCAGCAACCACCTATTCAGATCCCCCCCATTCAGTCACCGCCCGACCAGCAAACCCCTGATCAGACTTTCCCTGATCCTCAGGTTCCGGTCGATGTGCCTCCCGGACAACAGCCTTCGGGCCAGAACCCTGGTCAGACTCCTGGTCAATCTCCTGGTCAGAGCCCTCCCAATCAACAAGGCCCGGGCCCAGTTCCCGCTGACCAGCCACCCTCGACCCCAACATCTCCGGGCGCCGGTGCTGGCGGTTCTCCCTCAGCGCCATCCCCTGGTGGTGACTCTGGCTTCGTCAAGCTCCCACAATCAGGCCTCCCTGGCATCTCCACGGATCCCATTCAGTCTCCCCCGCCACAACGTTGTCCCGGCGAGCAGGTTCTTGTTGGCACTCTCTGCAAAGACATCTTCGGGGACCCGGAGAACTGCGGAGAGGCCTGGAACCTCTGCCCGCCCAACAACATTTGTGTTCAGGGTGCGTGCGCCGAGATCGACACCGGAGGTGACCCTAAGGACTGCGACGGTGTTGAATGTATCTCGGGCCAGGCCTGTGTTCGAGGCCAGTGCCGACCCATCACTATCGGCATCTCGGGCCCCCGGCCGTCTGAATGTGGATCCAACGGATGCGGCACCGGCGAACACTGCATCTCGGGAACGTGCGTCAAGCTCACGGGTGACCCGCAGAAGTGTGGTTCCTCGACCAACGCATGCCCCGCGAACAACCTCTGTATTCTCAACAAGTGTGTTCCTGTGGATACCGGCAAGGACCCCGAGAACTGTGGCTCCGAGGGCAACGTGTGCCCGTCGGGTTCCGCTTGCGTTCGAGACGTTTGTATCCCCATTAATGGTGGCAGCATTCCGCCGCCCGCGGACAAGTGCCCCTCGACTTGTGCGCCGGGCACGATCTGCGTCGGCACCGAGTGCAAGCCCTTGCAAAAGCCCGATCAGTGTGCAGACGGCTGTGGGACCGGAAATGTCTGCCTCGATGGCGCATGCACGCCCGTGGAGAGGCCTGACGCTTGTCGACCCCTCTGTTTGCCTGGTGCCGCGTGCATCGACAACACTTGCGTACCGATAGCCAGCTCTGACAGCTGCAACCCTGGCTGCTCAATGAGCGAGGCGTGCATCGGTGGCACTTGTATTCCTATTGATCCCAGAGACAAGTGCCGACCGCGCTGTTTCGGCGGAGCTGCCTGTCTCAACGGTGTCTGCGTCCCCACTCGCGGTGCGGGCGCATGCTCGCAGACTTGTGTCGAGGGCAGCGTCTGCTTCGGAGGCGAGTGTCAGCCTATCCAAACACCCAAAGAGTGCGCACCCAACTGTGCTCGTGGATCCGTGTGCATCGCTGGGTTCTGCCAGCCTATCCAGGCCCCCATCGATTGTGGTCTTCGTGGCCGCAACTGCCCGCTCGACACGAATTGTTTGGCTGGCAACTGTGTGCCGATCAGAGATCCCAATTCGTGCACCGACGACGGCAAGCCTTGCCCGAGTAACCACCGCTGTGTCCAGGGACAGTGCGTTCCCACGCGTGTCAGCGGCTGCAACCCAGCCTGCGAGTCTGACACGGAGATCTGTGTTGATGGTGTCTGTTCCGCCATCAAGGATCCCTCTTCCTGCGGCTCAGGAGGTGGCAAGTGTCTGCCGGGTCACATGTGCGCAGGCGAGCAGTGTTTGCCTATAATCGGATCAACTGGCTGCACTTCCAAGGGCCGAGACTGCGAAGATGGTTTCGTGTGCGTAGCCAAGAACTGTGTGCCCGTTTCGTCTCCCAACGACTGTGGTGAGGGAGGCACTCAATGCGCCGATGGCGAACTTTGTCTCGCTGGCCGCTGCACGGCACAAGCACGGCCGGACCCGTCTGCTGAGTGCACCGATCCAGCATGCAAAACGGGCGAGATCTGTATCGACGGATCATGCACAACACTGACGGACCCTGCGGCTTGCGGATCTTCGGGTGAGCCCTGTCCTGCTGGCACCTTTTGCCTGGGCGATGTCTGCACACGCCTTGGCGATCCCACCGACTGTGATCGCAACGGCCTCACTTGCGATGCTGGTGCCATCTGCGCGGCAGGCACTTGTGTCCCCGCCCAGTCGCCGACCAACTGTGGTGGGCCAGGTCAAATCTGCCCTGCTGGCCAGCAGTGTTTCGCTGGCCAATGTCTGCAGTTCCAGGACGCCAAGGGTTGCGGCACCGGCATTGCGTGCGGAACCGGCCAGCAGTGTATACACGGAACCTGTGTGTCCATCGGCGTCACACAAGACTGTGGCGACACCGGAGCGCCTTGCAAGGCCACCGAGAACTGTGTCGAGGGCTCGTGCCGACTCTTGCCTGTTACAGGAGCTTGCGGTACCACTGGAGGACCTTGCCCTGTCGGAAACAAGTGTGTTGCTGGCGCCTGCGTGCTGCCTTCGGATCCTGTGCCGGCGGTGCTTCTGGGACGACTTGCAGCGGCGGGCGCATCTGTCTCAACGGCGGTTGTGTTGCCGTTGATGATCCTGATGGTGACTGCGGCAGCACCGGAGGGCCGTGTCCCGTCTCCTCGTTCTGTGCGAGCGGTGTGTGCGTCGGTATCGCCGGACCCAACGATAACTGTGGAGCCACCGGCGCTCCGTGTGCTGCCGGATCTGTCTGTATTGACGGCAGCTGTACGGAGGCTACGGGCCCAGAGACGCCGTGCGGACAGACCAACGAGCCTTGCCCCCGCGGCGCCACCTGTGTCGGGGGTGCTTGCTTGCCGGGAGCGGGAGACGGAGACAATTGCGGCGACACCGGAGGCCCGTGCGAGAACGGCCTGTCTTGCATTGCCGGCGTGTGCTTCGGCAATGTGGACGAAGTACCAAGTCCTCCAGGTGACCTGCCTGTGTCCGGAGGAGACCAGCCTATCCCAGGAGGAGACCAGTCTACCCCTGGAGGAGGCCAAACTGTGCCTGGAACGGATCAACCTATTCCTGGTGGAGACCAGTCTCTCCCAGGCCCGGTAGACGGCATCACCAAGCCCGTCATTCCCGGGGACGGCAGTCAGCCGATTGGAAGCCCCGACCTCCCTATTGTTGCTGATCCAAACAACCCTACTACCGGTGGCGGCGGTGTTTCCGTTCCGCCCGCTACTGGTTCCACGCCGCCTGTTGACACTTGTGGCCTGCCAGACAGCGCTGTGCTGCGGGACTACTCTGCATCGAGGACAGATGTGTCGTTTCACGCGGCCCCCGATGACTTCTGTGGCACGTCGGGTCAGGTCTGCCCCATCTGGCAGACTATGCGTGTCAGGAGCGTGCTCGGCCCATTGCTGGGCCTTCTGATAACTGCGGTAACACGGGAGCTCCGTGCTCCCGCAGGTCAGTTCTGTGCTGGAGAGTCATGCCTTACCATCGGGGCGCCCACTGACCTCTGCGGCCCCCTCGGCCGTGTGTGTCCTGCTGGTCAGCTTTGCATGGCTGATCAGTGCGTTCCAATTGAGGCCCAAGGTGCTGTCTGTGGTAGCACGGGGAGCCCTTGCTCCTCGGGTCTGACCTGCGTTCGTGGAGCATGCATCACGACCCCCGAGGGAACTGGCTGCGGCGAGGGAGGCGCGGCCTGTGCCAACGGCTTTGTCTGTGAGAATGCCTCAGTGCATCATCTCCCCTAAGGATACCTGTGGCCCTGGTCGTGGACCCTGCCATGATGGTCTTGTCTGTCAAGATGGTGTTTGCACGCCGACGGGCTTGCCCATCGGCGGATGCGAAGGGCTGAACACGCCTTGTGCGTCTGGTCTCATTTGTGTGTCTGATATTTGCGTCGTGGACCCCGACCCATCGACATGTTCCGGCGCCGTTTGTGGCACAGGTGAGCTTTGCGTTCATGGCCTCTGCATTGACATCCTCAATAATGCCTGCACTGCGGCGCCAAGGACACGCCTTGCCCTCCGAACAACATTTGCCGTTCCGGTACCTGTGCTCCGTCCCCCCACTGCCTTTTGTGGCGACACGACGTGCGACAGCCAGCTTCAAGTTTGTGTTGAGAATGTCTGCCTCGCCCTCTCGACAGATCTCAACAACTGCGGTGCTGCTGGCACAACTTGCCAAGCAGGCCAGACGTGCATTTCGGGCCAGTGCTCCGACCCGGCAGCGCCCACGGATTGTGGTGGCGATGTCTGCGGAACTGGCGAGCTATGTGTTGAAGGGACAATCTGCGTCAACTTGGCGACGGACAACAAGAACTGCGGCAGCACTGGCACAGTGTGCTCCATTGACCAAGTCTGCGTTTTTGGCGTGTGCACTGCCCTAACAGCCCCCGTCTGCGGTCAGACCAATTGCGCGGAAGGCCAGATCTGCTCGTCTGCCACCTGCCTGGACGTGTTCACCGACGCGGCAAACTGTGGTGCCGAGGGCAGGGCCTGTGAGCCATCTGGCTCGACTTGCGTTGCCGGCAAGTGTGTGCCTCCTGTTCTTGGACAGTGCGGCAGTACGACGTGTGCGGCCTTTGAATCCTGCCGCGACGGGACGTGCTACGACCATCTCGGCGACGTTGACAACTGCGGTGGCTTGGGCAAGTCTTGTTCGGGCACTTGTGTGTCTGGAAACTGTGTGCCCCTGCCTGCAGTTGAGCCGAACCAACCTCGTCAAATCACCGACACGCTGAACCAGGTCGTCAACGACGCTCTCGGACCCAGTGGCCTCGTACCAAGTCTTCTCGATAACATTGGCAAGGGACAGACGAGCAACCTCGTCCCCGACATCATCAAGGGTGCCTTGGGTGACGGAACTTCTACTGGCGGCGGCCTCCTTCCTGGCATACTGGACAACCTCGTCAACCAGGGCGCTATTCCTCCAGCGGCTGTCACTGATCTTATCGGACCCAACGGTTCGCTTCCTCCGCTCGTAGACAGTCTCCAGGACAGCATCGCCAAGGACAGCACAGGCAACATTACCAACACGGTGCTGCCGCCTCTCCTAGAGGGCCTTATTGGCGACGGCACTACCGAGGGCGCTGGTCTCATTCCAGGCCTTCTCGACGACATCAGCAAGGGAAATCTCGGCAATGTCTTGCCTGGCCTCATCGACGGCTTGATCGGCAGTGGCACACCCGGACAGGGCACCGTTGGTATCCTCCCGCCGCTCATCACCGATATCCTTGGCCCTGCTGCGGATAACCCACTTGGAAACATCGGCACTATCGTCCCCGGAGGCCTGGGCGCTGCTATCGGCAACGTCACGACGCCAGAGCAGCTTCAGGAGGTCCTCCCTGGTGCCGTTGGAGACTTGCTCAACGGAACTCTGCCCGAAGATGTCGTGAACGGCGTCATCGGTGGACTCAACAACACCGTTACCATTCCCAACACCGGCACTGTCCCCGCGACCAACCTTCCCGGCGATGCAGTCGGCGGGCTTCTGGATGAACTCCTTAACAACGCGACTTCACCTGACGTTCCCAACATTCCTGCGGCCTCCGGACCCCTGATCGACTCTTTGCTCAATGGCAAGCCTCCGGTGAACACCCTCCCCGTCATCCCCGGCGGATCTACGGGAGAACTTCCCGTCGTCGGCGGACTTGTAGAAAATGGAACGCTGCCTGCCAACATCACTGGCGATACTGTAGTGGGCGCTATCATTGGTGGCCTGCTCAACAATGGCACGGTCCTTCCAGGCTCGCCGACGGCTGAACTCCTTGATGGCCTGACGGGCGGTCTTACGGGCAACAACGCCTCCGTGCCCGACACACCTGCTGGTAATCTTGGATCAACCCTCGGCGGGCTCATCAACGCGACTGCGCCCATAGGCTCAGCAGCCGGCGACCTCCTGACGGGCTTGATCGGCGGTGTCACTGGAAACAATACGGACATCACCCCCAAGAATCCTGCAGGAGCCGTTGGTACCATTGTCGGTGATCTCATCAAAAACGGCACAACGCTGCCGGGTACGCCCCTTGGTGACGCCCTCGGCGGCATCACTGGCCCGAACCCTCCTACAGGCAACGAGTTGGGCGAATGTCTTGATGATCTCCTTCCCAACGGCCCACCTGCTGGTATTCCGGCAATTCCCACTCCCGAGGAACTCGAAGGCCTCGTCGAGGGTCTCAAGCCCGTGGTGACGGCACCTGGGGTTATTCCTCCGTCAGGTGGATTCATCGGCGGTATCATTGGCGGCGTCCTGAACAACGGCACCGGGATCGGCGCGCCCGAGCTCCCAACCATCGGCATTAACCTGCCCGCTCTGATCGATTTTACCTTGGGAGGCACCAACGTGACTGGCTCGGATGTGCCCGGGCTCAATGTTACTCTGCCTGCCATTTTCGAAGGTCTTCTGACAAAATGGCACCATTGACCCTTCGCTGGGCGGTGCACTGACCGATATTGTCGGCGGCACACCAAACAACACGGCGACTACCGGCCCCACTCTACCGCCCACCCCCGGCCTCCCCGGAACCACCCTTCCCGGTCTTCCGGCCGCTGGAGGTCTGGTCCCCGGCGTGCTCGGCAGTCTTCCTAGCGATGAAATTGGTGATCTCTTGACTCCTGTTGTTGGCACAGGGGATGGCCTAATTCCCAAGCTCATTGACAATGTCAAGAACGGTGCGACCGATACTATCATTTCAGATCTCATCAAGGATGCGCTAGGTGACGGCACGCCTACCAGCGGCGGTCTCATTCCTAATATTGTCGGCAACCTGCAAAATGGCACGCTGGACAAGGTCTTGCCAGATGTTGCTAAGGATCTCCTAGGCGCCAATGCGACTCTTCCTGCCAACTTGACCAGTGGCTCTCCATCGGACATTCTCCCTGGTCTGCTGAACGATATCTTCGGCAACGGCACTGCCGGCTCGGGACTGATCCCCACAGTCATCGGACAGGTTCAGAACGGGTCAGTTGAGGCTATCCTGCCCGGCCTTGTCAACGGTGCGCTTGGCGGTGGTAGCCCCACGGGTGCTTTGCCAGGGTTCATCACTGAGGTTCTCGGAGGAAACGCGACGGCCGGTCTTGGAACCATCCTCCCAGATCTCGGAACCCATCTACCGGATCTGATCAATGAGAGCAATGGAGGCATCAGCCTTGTCATCCCCCAGCTTCCTGGTGGTGAAAACGGTGCTGGAAACAGCAGCGGCATTGGCATCATCATCCCCACCCTTCCCGGTAGCGATGGAGCCGGCGGCGCCGGCCTTGTCATACCTGATATCGAAAGTGTCTTGCCTGGACTCATCAACGGCACTGGCGGTCTGGCGCCTCTTCTCCCAGGTATAATTGGCAGTCTGCCGGGCATCAGCAATGCTACTGAAGGCGAGCTGGGCGAGATCGTCGCCACCCTTCCTGGTCTGGTGAACGGCTCGACTGGTAGCCTTGAGGATCTCCCAGCCATCATCGACCGCCTGCCTTCACTCATCAATGACACGACTGGCTCTTTGGGCGAAGTCATTGCAAGCCTGCCTGGTCTGCTGAACGGCACTGCTGGCTTGGGACCCCTTCTCAACAACCTCCCTGGGCTCTTGAACCAGACTGGTGCCCCTACCGTGAACCCCTCCTCAGAGCTTCCGGCTGCTGGTCTGTTGCCTGGGCACCATCGTTCCTGATGTCCTCAACACTCTGCCCGCCCTCACAAACGACGCTGTTAATAGTGGCAGTGGTATTTTGATCCCCGACTTTGGAGGCCTCGTCAATGGCACCACGAGCGGCGGCACGGGTGTCATTATCCCGGATCTCTCCAATTCTCTGCCAGGTCTTCTCAACGGCACAGGAAACGCCATTGGTGGTCTTGTGCCTGATGTCGCAAACACCCTTCCAGGCCTCGTGAGTGGTACGCTGCCGGGCCCCGCTGCGCTCGTGCCTGGACTCATAGCCACCCTGCCGACTCTGGTCAATGGGTCTAGCGCAGCCGACATCATCAGCAGCCTGCCCGCTGTCCTGCCCGGCGTCATTATTCCCGCGTCAGAGGTCAACACTATCGTCGAAAACTTGCCTACCCTGACGAACGGCACGTTGCCGTCCATTGACGTCAGCGCAGGTGTCGGCGTGGATGCCGGGGTCAAGATTGGTGTCCCGGCTATTCCCTCGCTCCCCCAGATCATTAACAACCTCCCTGGTCTGCTGAACAACACCGTCATTCCCATTTCCGTGCCTGAGTTGATCAGCGCTCTTCCCGGTGTGACCCTGCCTATTGAACCCTCTGTTGATACGCCAGGCACTCCTGGTGCTCCTGGAGGCTCTGCTGGCGGCGAGGCCCCCGGACCTCTCATTCCTGAAGTCGTAAACAACCTCCCTTCAATCATCAACGGTAGTCTTGGCGGTGGACCAGGCGCTGGCCTCATTCCCCCGCTGGTCGACAGCCTGCCCGGTCTCGTCAACGAGGCTGGCCCTGGTGCTCCTGGTGCCGGAGTTGGCACTGGCCCCGGTACCATCATTCCAGATGCTGTGAACAGTATCCCGGGCGTCATTGGCGGCGCTCTCGGTAACGGCCCCGCTTCCGGCGTCGTGCCGGGCCTAGTTAATGCTCTGCCGGGGCTCGTCAATGACACCCTTGCCGGAGGGCCGGGCTCAGGCTCCGGAACTCTTCTCCCCGATAACGTCAATAACATTCCTTCGGTTATTGGCGGCACGCTGGGTAACTCTACCACCTCGGCTGGCCTCATCCCAGGGCTTATTGGCTCACTGCCGGGCATCGTCAATGACACGATTGGCGGAGCGGCGCCCAGCCCTCTGATTCCTGACGCAGTCAACAACATCCCGTCGATCATCGGTGGTGCCATTGGCAGCTTGCCGGGCAACGGCAGCGCCATTGTCCCAGGTCTGCTGAAAGACCTCCCCGGCCTCGTCAACGGCGTCTTCCAGAACCAGACTGGCGCCGGGACTGTACTTCCCGATACCATCAACACGCTACCTGGCGTCATCGGCGGAGCACTCTCCGGAGACAATCCTGGCTCGGCTATCCCCACTGTCATTGACAACCTGCCGGGTCTCATCAATGGCAGTGTTGGCCAGACGGCGCCGGACTCCGGTGTGCGATCTCCGGGTCCCTTGAACGAGCTCCCGGCATCATTGGCGGAGCCGTGAACGGCAGCACCCCAAGTCCCGAGGGCGTCGTCCCAGGCCTCGTCAATAACCTGCCTGCTATCGTGGCCGGAGCCAGCGGTAATCAGAGCGCCGTGGGAAGCATTCTTCCTGGCCCGCTCAACGAGCTGCCTGGCCTTCTCAATTCAACTCTAGGAGCTGGTGGCCCTGTGACAGGCACTCTAGTGCCCGGTATCGTCAACGGTCTGCCTGACCTTGTCAACGGAGCTCTCAACGGTACCAATGCTGGACCTGGCGCCGAACCTGGAGGTCCACCCGGCACTCTGCTGCCAGGCGGTCTGAACGAGCTTCCCGGCAATCTCACTGCTGGTCTTCCCAATGGTACGACTGCGGGCTCTCTGTTGCCTTCCATCATTGGAGGGCTTCCTGGTGCTGTCAACAGCGCTGTCAATGGCACAGCTGGTACTCTGATCCCGGACGTCGTAAACCAAGTCCCTGGTATCATCAAGGGTGCTGTGGAGAGCGGACCCAACATCGGTCCCCTCATCCCCGGTATCGTCGGCAGCTTCCCGGCCATTGTCAATGGTACTGTGAACGGAGGCGGCCAGGCACAGCAAGACCTCGAGGCTATCATCCCCGGCATCATCGAGACTATTCCTGCCTGCGTAGAGGGTGCTTTGGGCAACGTTCCCAATGTCAACCCGGCGGATATCATTCCCATCGTTATTGGCAGACTCCCAGACATCATCTCTCAGCTGCCCAACGTTACGACTCCAGGCAAGGTCCTTCCTGGTCCGCTGAACCAGCTGCCGGGTATCATCTCCGGTGCCATTTCTGATGCCGCCGGTGTTCAGCCTGGCGTTATCGCCCCTGGTCTTGTGGCTGCTCTCCCCGCCGTCCTCGAGGGACTCGTCAACAACCTGCCGAACACGGGTGGTGCAGTACGCCCCACGATTCCTGGTCTTTCCGAGAGCCTTCCGGGACTCTGCGAAGACGCTCTGAACTCTGGATCCGGCGCGCTGGTCCCGGAAGTCATCAACACTCTGCCTGGCGTCATTGGCGGCTCCATTTCCAACGGCCAGCTGCCTGGCTCGGCTATTTCGCTGCCAGACCTCGTGAACAACCTGCCTGGTCTCATCAACGACGCACTGAACAAGGGTCAGGAGGAGTGCATTCCGGGCCCGGTCAATAATTTGCCAACCACGATTGGTAACGTCATTTCTAACGGAAGCCTGCCTATCCCTAACCTGCCCATCAACGACATTATCAACAACCTGCCAGAACTCATCAATGGCGCCATCCAGACGGGAGCAGGCACTCTGATCCCTGACCGCCTGAACAATCTCCCCACGGATATTGGCGTCTCGTTGAATGCTACTGTCGGTCTGCCGGTCCCCGAGATTATCGCCAATCTGCCATCCATCATCAACAATGCCGTCAGCAGCGGTAACCCTGTCGCTATTCCAGAGGTGATTAACAGTTTGCCTGCCACTATTGGCACGGCGGTGGGTGGTGCTACGAATTTGGTCCCCCAGATCATCGGAAATCTGTCGGCCTTGGTGAATGAGGCTATCAACAAAGGCGCAAGCACAGTGCTCCCTCCAGTGATCAACAATCTGCCGGTCACCATCGGAGGCGCCCTCAACGGTACTACCCTGCCGCCGGCTATCGTTTCCAATCTCCCGGCACTGATCAATGATGCCATCGGCAACGGTGGTGCAGCCGGAGCTGGTGCTGCTACGCTTCTTCCGGAGGCGATCAACACCCTGCCGGCTGTCATCGGAGACTCCCTCGGCGGCCTCACTGGCAACGCAGCAAGTCTGGTGCCTGCCATCGTCGCCAACCTTCCTGGATTGGTGACTGGTGCCCTACAATCTGGTGCTGGAACGTTGGTACCTCCCAGTGTCAACAACCTCCCAGCTACGATCGGAGAATCGCTAGGAAACCTTACAGGCAACCCTGGTGCCCTCGTCCCTGAGATCATCAACAACCTGCCAGGTCTCATTGCGGGCGGTCTAGTCGGTGGCACGGGCACACTTCTGCCTCCCGTCGTGAACAACCTCCCTGCCGTCATCGGTGGTGCCCTAGGCAACGTCACGGGCGCTGCTGAATCTCTAGTGCCCCAGATCATCGCCAACCTGCCTGGCCTCATCACTGGTGCCATCACCAGCAACAGCACGACCTTGATCCCTGACGTTGTCAATACGCTGCCTGTCGCCATTGGCGGAGCGCTGACGAACAGCTCTATCGGTTTCAATCCTGCGATCATCAATAACCTGCCGAGCCTCGTGAACAATGCCATATCAAGCGGCAACGCAACAATAATCCCCCCTCAGGTGAATAACATCCCGGCTGTCATCAGCGGCGCCATCGCCAACAGCACGACGGCTGATGACCTGATCAATAACCTCATTGGAAACGGCACCGCGACCGCTGGGGGCCTGCTTCCCATCTTATCGGGTACCCTCAACGGCAATGTCTCCATCGGAGGGAACAGTCAGGGAGTTCTTCCTGGCCTCATCGCCAACGTCTCTGTCGGCGCTCTGGGCCCCAACATCCCAACGCTCATCAACGGACTCATCGGTACCAACGGCACCCTCAGTGCTATTGCTGGCGGTCTGCTCGGAAATGGCACGGCGGGTCTCACGATCCCTGATATTCTCGGCGGCATTGCGGCTGGTACGGGCAACAGCTCTCTCCCAGGCCTCGTTGGCGAGATCCTGGGCAACGGAACCGGAGGAGGAGGAATCGGAGGAACAGGAGCAGGGGTGGGTGTGGGAGTCACGATTGGAGGAGGACTCGGAGCTGGAGGTCTTCTCCAGAACATCACGACTGGTCTCGTCGGCGGTGGCAGCGGCGGAGCATCCATTCCTGGTATTCTCCCCGGCATCGTCGCCGCTGGACCTCGCGCCAACACGACGGTCCCTTCGGTCGAGGTGGTGCTTGATAACCTCGGTATCGGCAACCTCACTGCATCACTGCCGGCACTCGTCGACAGCATCATCGGCAGTGCGAACCTCACGGGTAAGAATATTACTGGCCCGGCTGCAAGCCTGATCGACGGTTTGCTCGGCCCCGGCGCCTCGGCGGGCGTCAACGTCACCGTCGGCCCTGCTTCAGGACCTGGCGCTGGACTGATCCCCAACCTGCTGGACAACGTGGCCACTGGCAACGTCACGCAGATCATTCCTGATCTCGTCAATGGTCTTCTGGGCAACGGCACGGCCAACAGCGG